TGCCGGCTTGGTGTGTCTTCCTCCACAGCCGGCTGCCGCGCCCTCTCTTCCTCTTTCACACACACAGACGCACAGAACTGCGTCTACGACCTGCGTGTGGCTGAGATGGGGCCTGTGTGCGTATGTGGAATGGTGTGTGTGTTGGCGGGTGTGAAGGAGGCTGGGCTGAGCGGCTGCCCTGGCACAGTGCGCTGGGCGTGGGCCTCCCTCACATGTATGGAAGAGGAAGAGGAGGAGGAGAGCTGAAGAGAGCCTGGTGGGAGGCAGGGCAGGCTCAAGGGAGGAGCCTGGGGACTCCAGCTGGAGCTGCATCCCTGCAGGGTGTGAAAGGGGTTGACCGCTGGCTCCCCAGCATTCCCTACCTGGCCAGGACAGCCTCTCTCTTCCCTCTGGATAATCCTTTCCTCTTTGGGCCTTCCAGTGCGGCCTTGGGGTGAGCCTTGGCCATTGGGAAGTCCTTCCTCAGCCAATGTCCTTTGGGCTTCGGGTTCCACAGGAGTCTGAGCATGGGGCATTGAGAACCCCTGGTTACCCTTCCCCTGCCCTGGGGCTGCAAATGAGGGCTGAGGAGGGAATGTGGACTCTCCTCCAACTCCTCCTCTTCCTCCAGGTATGCATCTCCTCTCCCCACCACTTCTGGTCCTCAGGGAAGCCTTCCAGCCTTGGGAGCATCGGCTCCCTCTGCCAAAGCCCTCAGGGGCTGCTTTCCTCCTCCCCTCCCATGCACCACCCCACCACAAGACATCAAGGAACTACAGAACTTTGGCCAGGTTATTTCCACATCTCTGCACCTTCTCTATTTTCCTTGCTTGTAAATAGTAAAAATAAATAAGTAAAAATAAAAAATAAATCACAGCACAAATACTATAAAAAGTATAACAAGTGCTTGGCACTTAGTAGACAATCAGCATTAGCTGCTTATATACAATTATTGCAATTATTGCTTTGGTCTCCAGGGTAAAGATTAAAAGAAAAACACCCTTGGGGGTGTTTGGTTAGGACAGGATGTGATTGAGTGGGGCCGGGGGTCAGCTCAGTAACAGAGCACATGCCTACCATGTGCAAAGACTGCCAGGGTTCCATTCCAGCACACACACACACACACACACACACACACACACACCACCACCACCACCACCAACAACAACAACAATAATAATAATAGAAGAAGAAAGAATAAGGAAAGACTGAATGTGTTACTCTAGCACACCAGCAAGCCTGTGGCTGGGACAGCTCATCTTCTTCTTCTTCTTCCACATGCCCTGGGCTCCATTCATACTGGCTTCTGTCTAGGCCTTAGATCTGCTCCAGGGCTTTGGCTCTTGTCATTGCCTTTGTCTGGGTCACACTCCGCAGCTCTTCACATGGCTGCCTCCTTGTCATCCTCCTCCTCTTTCCCTGGGTAAGACCCCTGATCACCCAGCAAGGAGACACTCTGGTCCTGTCTTCTGACTCACTCTCTACCCGCACCCTACTGTATTTTTTTCTAGCACGTTTTTTGTTGCTCACATGCTTCAGTGAGCAACGTTCTATGACATGTCCCATTTACTTCTTTTTATGCTGATACAGGATTTGAACTCAGGGCTTTGTGCATGCTGAGTTTGCTTGCTTGGCTAGTGCTGTAGCATTTGAACTACTACTCCAACCTGAATTTTGCTGCTTCCCCCCCACCTCCCCTTTAGTCATGGGGCTTGAACTCAGGGCCTGAGCTTTTTCCACTCAAGGCTAATGCTCTACCACTTTGAGCCATAGAACCACTTCCAGTTTTCTGGTGGTTCATTGGAGATGAGTCTCATGGACTTTCCTCCTGGGCTGGCTTTGAACTGTGATCCTCAGATCTCAGCCTCCTGAATAGATAGAATTACAGGTGTGAGCCACAGGCACCTGGCCAATTTTTTGGAAAAGTATGTATGTATTTATTTATTTATTTATTTTTATGTCAGTACTATGGCTTGAACTCAGGGCCTGTGTGCTGTCCCTTAACTTTTTTACTCTATCACTTGAACTCCAGATTTTCCATGGTTAATTGGAGATCAGGGACTCAAGGAATTTTCTGCCTGGGCCGGCTTTGATCCTCAGATCTCAGCCTCCTGAGTAGGTAGGATTAGAGGTGTGAGCCAGCAGTACCTTGTTTAATTCACTGGAAGCATTGGAAGCACTGGAAGCAGAGCTGAGCCCTAGGAGGTCCTCTGTGTTTGCTGATCAGGGCACAAAGGAGGAGCATTAGCTGGAGTGAGCTCAGGTTCTCTGAGCTGCCGTTGCTGCATCACCTTGACTCCTGCTAACCTCTGATCACCCTCCATCCTCGTCATCATGTCACCCTTTTCCTCTCTTTTCTCCTCCAGCCACTGCCGATTCCCTGCTGCTAACCAATATGGCGAACTTCACACCAGTCAACGGCAGTACAAGCAACCAGTCTGTGCGCCTGGTAACGTCAACTCACAACCGCTATGAGACTGTGGAGATGGTGTTCATCGCCACGGTGACGGGCTCGCTGAGCCTGGTGACTGTGGTAGGCAACATCCTGGTGATGCTGTCCATCAAGGTCAACAGGCAACTGCAGACAGTCAACAACTACTTCCTGTTCAGCCTGGCTTGTGCAGATCTCATCATAGGCGCTTTCTCCATGAATCTCTACACCCTGTACATCATCAAGGGCTACTGGCCTCTGGGCGCTGTGGTGTGTGACCTGTGGCTGGCCCTGGACTATGTGGTAAGCAACGCCTCCGTCATGAACCTTCTCATCATCAGCTTCGATCGCTACTTCTGTGTCACCAAACCCCTCACCTACCCAGCCCGTCGTACCACCAAGATGGCAGGGCTCATGATTGCGGCTGCCTGGGTCCTATCCTTTGTGCTCTGGGCGCCTGCCATCTTGTTCTGGCAATTTGTGGTGGGCAAGAGGACAGTGCCTGACAACCAGTGCTTTATTCAGTTCCTGTCCAACCCAGCAGTGACCTTCGGCACAGCCATCGCGGCCTTCTACCTGCCTGTGGTCATCATGACCGTGCTCTACATTCATATTTCCCTGGCCAGTCGCAGCCGAGTCCATAAGCACCGACCCGAGGGTCCCAAGGAGAAGAAGGCCAAGACCCTGGCTTTCCTCAAGAGCCCCCTGATGAAGCAGAGCATGAAGAAACCCCCGCCTGGTGGGACAGCCAGGGAGGAGCTGCGTAATGGGAAGCTGGAAGAGGCGCCTCCACCCGCCCTGCCCCCACCCCCGCCACGCCCAGTGGCCGACAAGGACACTTCCAATGAGTCTAGCTCCGGCAGCGTCACCCAGAACACCAAGGAACGCCCAGCCACAGAGCTGTCCACCACAGAGGCTACCACACCTGCCATGCCCGCTCCTAGCCTGCAGCCACGAACCCTCAACCCAGCCTCCAAATGGTCCAAGATCCAGATTGTGACCAAGCAGACTGGCAATGAGTGTGTGACAGCCATCGAGATTGTGCCCGCCACGCCAGCTGGCATGCGTCCCGCAGCCAACGTGGCCCGAAAGTTTGCCAGCATCGCTCGCAATCAGGTGCGCAAGAAGCGGCAGATGGCAGCTCGGGAGCGCAAAGTGACTCGGACCATCTTTGCCATCCTGCTGGCCTTCATCCTCACCTGGACGCCCTACAACGTCATGGTCCTGGTGAACACCTTCTGCCAGAGCTGCATCCCCGACACCGTGTGGTCCATTGGCTACTGGCTCTGCTACGTCAACAGCACCATCAACCCTGCCTGCTACGCGCTCTGCAACGCCACATTCAAAAAGACCTTCCGGCACCTGCTGCTGTGCCAGTACCGGAACATCGGCACAGCCAGGTAGGCAGGCAGGTGCGCTAGGAGGTGCTGGGGTTACATGTGTGTGCTGGGGGACCACAGGGCTCACCAGCCAAGGGGAAGAGAGTCGGAGGCCCTGTGTTCCGTATTTCCATCTGCTGAAGAGAACTGCGGTCTCCAAGATGCCGGGAGGTTCCGGAAGAGGCTCGGGCCGGATTCCGAGACCACATCTCTGCTCAGGCCGAGGAGGCTGAGTCAGGAAATGTCTGAACTGGGGCCCCTGGCGCTTATCACCCTGTTTCAGGGAGCTGGGGGGGAGGACACTGGCCGGGGTGTCGTGGCCAACTACCAGCAGAGTTGAAGGAATGGACATGTGAGTGAACAGTGTTCCAGGAGCAAAGGGGCCAGGCTAGGAAGGGGTAGAAGGTGGGGTCCCCCATTCTGCTGTAACCGGTGCTTTCCACCTCCCTGCACCCTGCATGTAGGCTCAGCCCTTCCCCGCCCCCCCAAATCCCAAGCCAGGGGTAGACATTTCCCCTGGGGCCGCAGCTCAGCCAGGCTCTGGGTAGGAAGCAGCAAGTCCTGCAGCAAGTTAAGAGTCCAGCCAGGCCAAGATGGGAGAAGATGGGAATCCTGGAGTCACTCAGGAACTGAGTTCTGGGCCTTCTTGTGAAGGACCTCCTACCCCACCTCCATAGCAAGCAAAGCAGGGGAGCTGTGCTAGGCAGTACTTCCCTCCACTTCTCTGATGAGGGAGGCCCTCCCGGGGTCCAAAGGAGAAAGGGGACAGGGTGGCGCTCCATAGGTTTCAGTGGTAGCAGGGGTGAGGCAGGCGGGCACCCCTCACCTCTACTCTTCCCTGTGGGCAAATCTTTCTGATGGGCAGAGGCCTGGACCAAAAGACCTTTGACTAGGTGAGGTTGAGCATTAGTGGGTCATCTAAGTTCACTTGCTCAGCTCCAGCCAGGTCCCTGGGAGAAGAGTAAAAAGGTTCAGGGAACTTCATGGGGGCCCCTGGAAGATGTTCTTTTCACCCTTGTTCTGCTTTTTCCATGAGCTCTGGGAGGATTCACTAACAAAGTCCCGACCCCTTTAGTTCGCCTGTCCCTGCGGCCTGTCTTCTCCCTCACCTCCAACAAAGCTGCACAGCAAACACCCTTTTATATATGAAAAAGAAAAGCTTTGATTGGAAAACAAGTCAGTTCATTTTATTTATTTCTCAGTAACAGGCATCATGGTGGGGGAATACAAAGGGTGGGGTGGGGGGAGAGAGTGGGATTCAAATCCCTCTGAGGGAGACTCAAATTTCCCAGAATCCCTAGTCCCTCCCCACTGAGGGCACGGGGGTGGGGGTGGAGTGAGAGGGCAGAGGCGGGGCATGATTGATAAAGCTAACAAGCAGACAAAAGGCACTGGCAGGTTATATCTCCGGGCTGTGTGAGGGGAGGGCGGTGACCAGGCCACAGGTGAGGCCCAGGGGCTCCATCTCCTTCCAGCCTAGCCTCAATCCTTCCCTTTCCCTTTCTTGGCTGTAAAACAAGAAAAACACATTAGCTGAGGCAGCCCACCGACCCTGGAGACCCTCTCTGGCACCCCTCCCCCAACCCACAGGCCAGAGGAGAGAAAATCCCGCCCCCTGGTGGCTTTGGCTCCATTGACCTGGAAGCAGGTGGGGGAGAAAAGGCAGCCTTTGTGGGGCCGGACCTTTTCCCACTCCTTGAAATGTCTGTCTACTTTCAATGGGGATTAGAAAACTTCCAAGCTTTCAGTCCCAGGCCTGGGCGCAGACGCCGGAACAACAGCCACCACTTCCTCGCCTGGCCAGCGGGCAGAGGTCAATCTGGGCTGCTGTGAGTCAGGGCTGAGAGCGAGGCAGCGAGGTCCTCGGCCGAGCCCCGAGCCCGGGAGCCCAACGGCCCCCTCCAGCAAGAGGTGACCGAGGCCTGTTCCTGGAGCCAATGCCAAATGCTCCCACGGACACCGAGTTCGTCCATCCTTGTGCCTGAGAGGATTTGGCATCTCCCGACCCCCCCCACCCTCCCTAAGACTTGTTCCGCGGACATCCTAATGGCAACGAATCACTGACCAGGAAGGACCCCAAACCTCAGCTCTAACACTCCTCTCGGGTTGGGGAGCCCCCCCCATCGCTGACCTTTGGCCTTGGCTTTGGTCTTGGGGGTGCAGGGCTTGGTCACGCGGATGGTCTCCTGGCACTGGGCATTGTAACGCGCCTTCTTCAGGGTGCCCTGGCGGGCTTTGGTGCCTGTGCCCCCATCACACGCTCCCCAGCTCTCAAACTTGTACTTGCAGTCGGCTGGCGGGAGAGGGGCTGCGGGTCGGGGCCGGCCACCCCGCGGCCCCCCTCCACCAGCCAGCCCATGTGTTCAGCGAGGACCGCCCCCCCCCCGGCCGCGCTACTTGGCCACCTCACCTCCAAACTCCTTCTTCCAGTTGCAGGGCACCCGGCAGCGGATGCGCTGCGTCTGGGCCCCGCAGGTGCCCTCGCGGAAGCCCACGCCGCAGTCCTTGCTGCTGGGGGTGCACGGGCCCCAGGTCCATTCCGCGCACTCGCTGCCCGGGCCACCCTTCTTCACCTTGTCTACAACGCGCGCAGAACAGAGCTCAGATCGCGGGGTGCCGCGCGGTCCCGAGTGGAACTCCGGCGGCCAGCCCTCGCCCCCCCTCCCCGCCCTCCCCGCCCACCCCGTCACCTTTCTTCTTGGCCACCGCGGAGGTGAGCGCCAGGAGGGCGAGGAGGACCAGGAACAGGAAGCCTCGGTGCTGCATCCTGGGGAGAGAGCAACGGGTCAGACTCCCGCGGCCTGGCCCCTTCCCCACTGGGGACCGCGTGCGAGGATCGCCCACCCCACGGGTCCCGAGTCTCAGGCCCACAGGGTCCGAGCTGCTAAGGGGGCGGCGGAGGGCTCGGGCCGCCCCCCCCACCTCGAGCCAGGGCCGTCCGTGATGGGCTGCCGCGAGCCCGGGAC